CTCTCTCTCTCTCTCTCTCTCTCTCTCTCTCTCTCTCTCTCCCCCTCTCTCTCACACACACACACGCACACGTCGAGCGGAGCGCAGCAGTTTTTCAGTTCGTGCGCCCCGGTACGAGGTACAACTTGAATGAGTTTTGGAACACATCTCCCCGTGACGACCCGCGCCGGTTCCAATGACGGTTACTGCACTGCACTGCACTGCACTGCGCTGCCGCTCTACAAAATGTATACTCCACTCATTCAAATGCGCTTCTTCAAAACAGGCGGCGCCCCGGGACGACGCGACGGGGGCGGCCGCGGCGCGCCGTCACCGCAGCGGCGCTTTTCAAATGAGTCGGTCGATGCACGTGATTTGGTTGCGCAACAGGTGCTGCACACCACCACACACTCGCAGGGGTCACTCCCTCGACAATCAACGGCGTCACGTAACGTGACATGCCGCCCGCCGGCCCACGTTGTGTGCACGCCTCTTGTTTCCATCCACCGGGACGCGCCTATGGCCGGGGGCCGCCCAGCAGCGCCGCCCAGCCCAGCACCACGCGGATAAACACGGGTCTAATGACACAGTTGCTAGGATCAGCGCAGCCACAGCCGCAGCCGCCATGGCATCGGAAGCAGACAGGAGCGAGCGCGCTGCGTGTAAGCGCTGCACTCGCAGCCGTCTCGTCTCCGGCGCTTCCGGGTGGCCGCTGCGCACTTCCACTTTGTCCCACTTCCGCAGCACACTGATAAACTACTAAGTGTCCAACTGCTTAACCCCTTGCAAGTTTGCAACTGCTAGTTGAATAGTTGCAAGTATGCACCTCCGTAGTTGTACACTTACAAGTGTTGTTCGAACTCGGTAGGTGTGCGGCATTTGCAGGGTGCATTCCTCTGTTGATCACTTCCTTAGATTGAACGCTAACTGTGTGGGACGAGGGGGCCACTTCTTCGATTTAGGATGTACACAAGATTACGCAATTACAGGGATTACACGTGAATTTAGAGGGATAACACATGAATTTTGATGAATTTTTGGCTCTGAAACCGTTAAATTTAGACTGTAAGGTGAAATTTAGTGAAAATGGTTTAAAATTTGAAGTATGATACAAGGATATAGGACAATACATAAGGATTACATAAGGATTACACCCTCATCTGTACACAGGATTACGCGAGTGATGGCCCCCTCGGTGTAGGAAGCGCTCAACTGAGGAGTTGCACACTTGCAAGTGCACATAGCTACCGAGTTTGAAAGCTTGAATGTGTTTACAACTACGGAGTTGCATACTTGCAGGTGTTTAACTTGCAGTTGCACACTTACAAGTGTGAAGCTGTAGCATCACGCTAAAAGTGACTGCTAGGTTTCCAAGCAAATGTGGTAATTTCCAAGCACTTTTTCTTGAAAACTAAGCAGTCACTTTAAGTGTGATACTTAGTTTATCAGTCATGCAGCCGCCGGGGTCCGCCTGCCTGCGGCTCTGGCCAAGGTGCTGCTTTCCAAAGACACTTTCCAAATGAAAAATAATGACTCTAATCGTGACGATGACAAATGCCCCTTCCCCCTTTTCCCTTCCGCCCTGTAAGTGTCCATTCGCAAATTTCGCCAGTTGCCTTTATGTCGAAAAATTTCTATAATAAGCCCATGTAACCCTAGCCTCCTCAACTTCTTTTTGTCAATGTGTGTCTGGCAACCCACGTGAGATATAGTTCGTATAGCACTGGTCGCTTTCAGCGCCTTGACGTGGTACGGTGTACCTAAACTACCACCCGCACGCAGAAAAAAATTCGTGGCTCTGCTAAGTCTTTAGCACCGGGGCTAAAAAAATAACTGAATCGACTGGGCTAATTTATTTAGCACCAGGGCTAATTTTTTAGCCATCTAGTAAACCACAACGTTTATTAACCGTGTAGCTAATGTCACTTAGCTATCAAGCTAAATATTTTTTACAACTGGCAAATTTTTTGGCACGGTTGTAAAATTGTGCAATCAAACCGATTTGCACGGAACTGAATTTCATTTTTCTGCGTGTGAGACAATTCGTCACGTAAAATCTTTCTATTCGTGCGCTAGTAGAGATAGGATTATTTAGGAAAAGAGGACAGAGACTATGGCGGAGAAGAGCAGAAAGTGGTCACGCGCCAGACTCACCGGCACCCGCAGCAGCGTGTCCATCTCCGCGGGGGCTGCGCCACCCGCGCTGCCGTTGACCGCTGCGTTGCCGACAGCACCGTTCCTCCCGGCCTTCTTCTTCTTGTCCTTCGCCATGTCGTCGGGGAGCGGCGAGACGAGCACCGGCAAGAGAAGGAGGGGGGCGTCGTCGTCTCGGTCACCACCTCATCGCCGCCGTCCTGGAAAGTACCAAACCAGACGACGTCGTACGCTGTCAAAAAATGACAGAGAGAGAGGGGGGGGGAACATCACTCGGCCGAGCAGAAAACAGCCACTTGCACAACGGGGCACATAGCGGGGGGTCGGGCCCCGCCGCGGTAGAGCGCTCACCCCAACAGACGGCGCGCGCCAGGTGAGCTCGAGCAAGGGGGTGGCCGCGGCCGGCTCGGGCGAGGCAGGGGGAGGAAAAGCGACGGCAGCGCCGAGCTGCGCGCGGAGCACCACCGACGGTCGCGGTGCGGTGAGTCGCGGGTCGCGGTCGTGCGGTGCGGCGGGCGTCGGTCGCGTGGGGCACAGCGGGCGTGGATACGCGTGGTACTCGGCGCCCAGTCCGGAGGCAGACTGTGGCGGTCGCCGCGCCGCGCCGCCGCCGGTGTGCGCCATGCGCGGTGTGTGTAGCACCTTTACCCCGCGCCGCCCCGCGCCGCCCCGCGCCGCCCCGCGCCGCCCCGCTACACGACGCCGTGTTGTGTGTGGACGTCCACCCGCCCCGGCGCGCGGTGGTGGCGGCTGAAAGCGGATATGTGTCTTATCTCACGGGTCTGCGGTGGTTAACCGGTTGACCGGCTCCCAAACCGGATTTTTTCGGCCAGTCGACGTGACGCCGAACGTGACCGGCACGCGCACGTGCCCGTCGCGCCCCCCGTGGCGGCGGCCAGGATCGCCAATCAGAGGTCGCCGAGCGCAACGTCCCGCCCCCTCTGCAGGCTGACGCAGAGCGCAGTGTGCCCTGCACGATGCACCGCCACGCCCCACCCAGCCCCGCCACGCCGGGGAACACGTCAGGCGCCGTGAGGCCCATTTCCCCCCCTGAAAGTTGGAGTCACGACTGGATCATTCTAGACGCCCGTCGTCGCGTGAAGACACTGCCATCAATGACCCGAAGAGTGCACACTGCAAAATGCTTGCGAAGGGCAGGCTCGTTCATGCAGAACTATTGCTCTAAGTTTGATTGTGGGGGTACAAATTCACTCTCTCGAGATGACTTTCGGCATCATCGACATATCAGCAGAGTATGTCAGAATGAGGTCAGGACGATAAGTCGATTTCTTCCGCTACACCGAGTAAATCTCAGTCAGATTGATGTCATTGGACAGAGTATCGTCGGGCCCATGCTCGTTGTTGCGGATCGATTAGTGTAATTAATTGCTTGTAGCACTCGACGCGTCAGCCTGCTCATACTCCTCGACGCGTCGCGACGCGCTGCTCGGAGTCCTCGGCCTGCAGACGTCGCCTGCTGGCCTGACATGCAAAATCTGCAGGTGGCGCGTGGTGTTCCCGCGAGGCCTTGGAGGTCTCTACCACGAGAGCCCTGCCACACCATGAGGCGTCGAAATAAGTCCAACATCATGCAGGGCCTGACGCCCATGGCGGGCGCTGCTGGCCGGCGCCGGTGCATGAGGCGCAAGGCTGGGCTGGGGCGGCGGCTGCTGGGCTATGCTATGGGCGGCCGAAACGCGAGACCAGCCTTGGATCATCACCCAACATCCATCTTTGATAGTGGACGCGTCATCGTTATACTTGACAGGCAGGGTGCAGGGAAGAGCAGGCACTGGGAAATTGTTACAAAACTCTGGAAAGAATAATTCAGCGAGCAGCAATACATAGGGCAGTTCCCTCTTGACATGGACTTGCCCCACCCTCCTTTTCCCGACGACACACATCACACACTACACTAAACCGTGAAGGCGCGTGATGTTGAGAGAGAACGGGATTGTGAAAAGGGGGGGGGGTGCCTTATCGCGAGAACATCCCGTATCAGTGGGAGGTATCAGCTTCCGGACATGCCAGAGGGGGGAAAACAGAGGAGTGAGAAATCCTTTACATGGGTTGAAACCTAATACGGCTAGATACGCATCATGATGTGAAACAATGCCAGGAGCAACGAGCAGCACGCCAAGTGTGGCCCCACGTAATGTGGATTGCCTATGTATAGGCATAACTGCCTACTTTCAGGAGTCTCCCCTCAGGTTGACGATGGGGGAGGGGCGACCGACTCCTTGCCCCCCCCCCCCCACGATCTCCCCTTAAAATCTCCCCTACACCGGGCCCCTGGCGCGTGCAGAATCTACGTAACCTTCCCAAGGGACACAAATATGTCAAGAAGACAAGATGCGAAAAATTTGGTCATCTTGACTGAGAGAAATTACGTCTTGACGTCGTTTTCTATCGAGGTTGGTCCGTGGGGCTTTCATGAACTGGCTGTACCTGAAGGTACCCCCGTGTCCGTGCCCGCGCCCCCCGGTGATCGGGCGGCACGTTCTACTGTGATGAGTGAAAGGTGCTTATACATTTACCCAGCTCTCACCCTCGTAAAAATGTGTAATTTTTTTTTGCATGTTCTAGGTGTTGTTTTTTTATGATTAACATTAAACGCCCCGGCCAGGACCCTGCACCAGCAGCCCCTCACATCAGAGGTGGTGCTGGACCATTGAGCCAGCCCAGCAGCATTTGCTGTCGGCTACACACTGTGCCACGCGAACGTCGGGTGCCTGCCGACGTCAAAGGGACCAGGTGATTTATTTTAATGATGTTCTTTCTCGTTTTGTTTTGTTCGCGTGGCCAGGCCTGCGGGAACTGGATCTACAAGACGAGGATCGCGGAAAGTATTCAATTGCCATCCTTCAAGCTGTCAAATGAAGTAAAATAAAAATTGCGCTTGCTTTACCAGCATCTGGTTTTTGGATCCATCCACCACTCACTTCTGAGGTCCAGCGATTACTTGTTGTTACGTTAAGAGCGAGCCACTTGTGTACAACAGAAAGAAAGGTCACCCCGAATAAGGGGCCGCTCGTCTCGACAGGTGGCTTTTGAACTCGCATTCAAAATGACAAAAACCGGTTTCAATCGAAACACACTCTGGAAATCCGAGTCATAGTAAGGGAATCAACAATCGCGCTCGTCTGTCGCACAATAAGATAGAATACGAGTCTTAAATTTGTTCTTGAGTATTTCTTCTTGTTTTGTGGCAAAGTGCCATTTTTTCTTTTTTATATTGAGAATGGAGAGAAAACAACAAGCGCACAGCATTGTAACTGAGTTGGGCTCCAGGGGATCAAAAGTGAAAAGTCGGCCAACTACATGTCGTGGGTGTCGTTCCATTCCAAGAAAGTGACGTGAACTGACAAAGTGTTCAGACGCGTCACAAATGACTAGTGGTGCAAACAATGATCGGTGATTGGTACAGTGTGCACAAGTGTGGCGCTCTTTACACAGCAGAACGATGAGTATTATGTTTCAATATAATTATTCAAAGAATCTAACAAAAGTAACGTGTTCTTTATTACAAATTCATTTTTGTTTAACATGATATTACATTAACACTTTGGGGGGAAACCCCTTCACACTTTAGAGTACGGCGCGGCAATTTTTGTGACCAAGTAAAGAGATCTGCCGTCTAGAGAAACGGAAGTAGAATCGAAACAAGTCTGAACGAAATTAACAAATCTGAAATGACAAAACTCCCTAAACTCGTAACAAATATATACAAATGCATGTGTCTTATATTTACAAACGTATTGCATCACAAGCTACTTTCACTACATCATGCTCACATTGTACTTACTTTAAAATAATCACAATTGAAAGGGCAAATCTAATGATTAGAAAGAACACTTTCCACGGTATGCACATTTCTCAACAAGTGGAGTGATGCGGCTAAAAGATAAAGCGCGGCCACTTGTCTGCACGGTCGAGAGCTGCACGCAGCAGAGGCAGCCCGCACGCAGGGGTGTAGAGTGGGTTGCCCACCCTGCGGACCACAGGCGTTTGGGCGCGGGCCGGCGGCGGCGCGGCGGCGTCGCTCCGTCCAGCCTACCGCCACACGGTCTCCTTGGCAACGAGGCGGAGCAGGCAGTTGGACGCGCGCAGCTGGTCCTGCAGGTGTCGCACCTCCTCCTGCTGGAAGCTCCACACGAGCAGGTTGCCCAGCTGCTCCAGCGCCGGACACTTGGCGCGCACGGCGCGCACGCTGGCCGGGGTGAGGGCGAGCCGCGGCGCGAACGGCGCGTCGTCACCGTAGTTGTTGTTGGGCAGCAAGACGAACAGCTCGCTCAGCGACGAGCAGTCCATGGCGTCCAGCACGCTCGCCAGCCACGCGTCCGTCACGTCCGCGCTGTTGACGGCGATGTACAGCTGACGGAGCTGCTCGGCGTGGCGCACCAGGCGCTCCACGAAGGTGGCCGGCAGGCGTGACACGGAGCGCTCGTCCCAGCCCACCCGGAGCGAGAGGTTCTCGAGGCGCGAGAAGGGGCGGTCGGTGGGCCCAGAGGGGGCGGCCTCCGGGGCCTCGGGCGCCGTCGCCAGCGTCAGCACGTTGCAGCGCATCCACAGCTGGCGCAGCTGCGGGCAGTGAGCGCCCACCAGGTCGAAGTGCGCGGCCGTGAGGGCGTGCGAGTACACGGTGAGCGCGGTGAGGCGCGCGCCGTGCACGGCCAGGAACTTGACGGTGACGGGGCCGAGCGAGGAGGGCTTGGGCGCCGCGTGGAAGCGCAGCTCGAGGCGCTGCACCTGCGCCAGGTGGCCGAAGTGGCGCAGGTCCTCGTCGAGCACGCGCACCCGCAGGTCCTCCAGCTGGGGGCACATGGCGCGGAGTGCGCGCACCAGCTGGCCGCGGCAGCGCAGGCGCGTGGGCTCGTCCATGGAGCGGCGGCGGTGCAGCGCCGTCTCGCCCGTGTTGACGACCTGCGTGATGGCGAGCGGGCCGTGCGGCTGCGCCCACCGGCAGCAGGTCCCCGGGCCGCTGGGCGCCGGGCAGTAGTCCTCGCCGACGCAGCCCACGCAGCACCGCTTGCGGTCCGCACTGCAGCTCTGCTGCCACAGCAGCAGCACGGCGGCGCCCACCTCCTGGTGGCCCAGCAGGCGCAGGCGGGGCAGCGACTGCAGCAGGCCGGCCAGCACCCCGCACGGCAGCACGCAGTCGTAGATGAGCAGCTCCTCCAGCAGCGGGCAGCCGGCGCACAGCAGCAGCAGGCTGGTGGCCGACACGGCCGCGTTGCGGGACACGTCCAAGGAGACGAGTTGCGGGCACTGGCGCGACACCTCGGCCAGCGTGTGGTCCGTGCACACGGGCAGGGTGTAGCGCTGGCCGTGCGTGCCCAGGCTGAGGTGCGTCAGGTGGCCGAGGCGCGGCAGCGCCGCCACCAGCCGCCCACTGAAGGCCGTCACGTCCTCGGTGGACCGCCGCCCCATGCGCACGAGCGGGGACAAGTCCACTGAGGTCACCCCCTCGCCGAGCAGGTCGACGAGCTCCAGGGCGTTCCCGCCCGCGTCGTCGCTGTCCTCTCCGTGCAGGCTGACGTATCGCTTGACGAAGGCCCACACCAGGGAATCGGCCAGGCTGGGCGGCAAGCTGGCCACCAGGCCGCGCACCTTCTCGGCGACCGCCTCCCGCGCCTCTGGCGCCGAGGAGTTCTGGACGCACGACAGCGCCCGGTCGGCGAGGGCGTTGGCCGCAGACAGGAATAGCGAAAGCGGCGGGCTGCGCGCGAACAGCGCCGCGTCAGCACCATGCTCGCCGGCGTTTTCCTGGGCGTCAGCGACAACAGGAGCGCCCGGATTGACAGCCGCCTCGGCCGCCGGGAGGTTATGTGGGTCCTCCGCCATGAGTCACTCTGTGGCCTGTTCGGCACCCCGCGCAGCGAATAGCACGACTGGCTGTGTGCCGAGGTCCGGCATCGGTCACATGGTTGAATGAGACACTGGGAGAGGCTCAGAGATCACCGCCGAACCGCCCTTCACGTAAAATTCACTACAAAAAGTCGTCTGCTACTGTAAGTCTTTTCTTCTCTCGTGGACTAGTGTTGTTTTTATTGTTTGTTTATACTTTTGTGTTTGTGCCAACCGCCGCCTGAAAAAGTCTTCATTATAAACAGCTGTGGAATTCCTAATTTTACGTTGATGCAGGCGCAAAACACTGCGGAACCAACTTAAAGCTGTGTACTGTTATCTATCATGGCGATTTTTTCACTTCTAAAATAATTTTGCTTGTCGCGGGAGGCGTTCATCTTGAAAGATGTGTTGGTGTTCCTGAAGTATTTTATGTCCGCTTCTTTCGACAAAGTAGCAGCGGCTCAGCGGCATTTACCCCCTGCCCCCCCCCCCCTCTGCCTCCTCGAGTCGAGTTCACAGCTGGCTAAAAGGACTAAGCAGAACAACGTTGAAACGGTTAAGGGTCTTTGGGCCCCTGCACCAAGTCCAATTCGGACTTTGGGCCAATAAACCAGTCTTCAACAGAACCAAGATCCACAGGTTTAAGGTAAGCTATAGGAAAAGATATCACTTAAATGTTGGGCATTACTTCGAAGTTGTTGCACGCCCCTTAGTTTCATTTTCGTCCCACTTTTGAGGACTTTTAAATGAAACTTTTTGAATGTAAGTAATAGTGTCCTGAAAAGTTCCATTGCAGTGGCTTTTAAGCTTGCCTTTGAATCAGGGCTCGCGTAACACATGCCGCCATTAACAAGGTTAAGTCTGAATTAGTGCAGCACGGTGGCAAATGTTCTATTGTTTGTTTCCATAGTAAAACTTTGTTAAGTTTTTCAAAACGTTGATTGTTTTGAATTAGTCATGAAGTTTGTCTTTCATAACAAAGACTGCATCCAGTTAAAGGGGTGTTGAGGTCCTGAATTTTAAAGTTTGATAATGTGCCTGAATGTCAAAAATCAACTATTAACAGGCTGAAAAGGGTAGGAAAAGGAGCCTGTCAGAACTAGTTTTGATGCTTAAACACATTTTTATTTTTTAGGGGTGCTTTAGATAAAGCAGTGGGGTTCAGGACCCACTTGCACCCCTTTACGCAGCCATCCGTACACCAGTAGCCATTATTGCTCCTTGTTGTCAAAGAGTTTCATTCATTTTGCAAAGAAGTTATTCTGAAATGCATTATTTTTCTCCCTTTTCAGTCAGCTCAATGGAACTTCCATTAGTCATGGAATCACTTCGAATTGAGGCCCAAAGAGAAGACCCCAAGCCTGATGAAAGTGATGAAGCACCGTCACCCTTACCATCACCATTACCCGCACCTTCTACACCGACACCCAATAGAACCCTGTAAGTGTCCCACTGCAAACAAAATAAAAATTCTGCTTTGTTTAATGTTATTGTTTTTTTGTACAGAAACTAATCATTAATGGAGGTAAAACTGGATCATAGCAAAATCTTCAAAAATCTAACTTGACTTTTTTCCCTTTTAGGAGGAAGCGGGTTTATGGTAGCACATCAATGCTGGGACCAATGAATGCATGCAATGAATCCAGGAAGAAGGCTATCAAAATTGACACTGAAAGAAAAGTGTTAGATTTTTATAAAAACATCAACAAAAAGTGGAGTGTGAAACATACTAACTTAGAAACTATTTTTGAAGAGCCTAAATCAGCAAGTGATGGAAATGTTGTAACTATGAGTGGATCGAAAGTTAAACGATCAATTTTATTTAACCGGCGTGTCACCAAAACAAAGCAAGCAAAAAGGAAGGACAAGGTAAAGAAATTCAAATTGACCAAGGGAAAAGTACTTTCTGCGGGGAAGAAGAAGCTGACTGTCGAAGAGGTTAAATTGTATTTCGCTGAATCTTTGGACAATTAGTATATTATTGATTGAGGACATCTTGATTTTCAACCAAGGGTACTGAAAGAATTTTTTTTTTAATTTATTGTTTTTGGTTAACATGTTGTATCTGTGATAAAGTGATGCAAGTTTTGAGCTGAATATTGAAGGCTTATCTTTGCACATAATAAACTGACTGCCACTTTCGATGTCTGTAATTAGATAGGTCTGATACAATTAAGAAGCTCCAAAGGTGCTCCAAAGTTATGCATGGTCCAAGAATTCATGTTGATTCTCTTGTTAGAGAAGAAATACTTGCCCTGTCTGGAAGGCACAATGTAATTAGTTCCAATATTTACTTTTTATCTGTTAAACTTTAAGATGGTAAGGGACTCTCTTCCTCTTTCTGACTGAAAACAAAACAAATCAACTATTCCTGTTTGTTCATCCAGTATTATTTAGTGCTATGCAGTATTACTTGTAATACATGATTTATGTCTCAAAGTGTGTGTGTCCTTACTTCCTCAACCATTTTCTAATCAAATTGCTATGTCAGCACCACAGTTCAAAACAGTGAAAAGAAAAGTTTACAAATATAATTGAAGTCTTTCAACTCAAGAGTTTTTATTAGGTTAACAGAATGGATGAGGTTACATTCTTAATCTTTAACATAACATGAATCAGAAGAAGAAGCACAACCATCGTATTCTTCAATATTGCCCTTTCTTTGCTCACGCGGGAGAACTTTAATTTCATCTGCATACTTGATGCAAGCACAGCGGTAAGAATCAGACCCAGGTTTATAATACTTCCTCGGTACACCTGCCCAATCCCGCTCTATGCCACCACTGGGGACAAATAATGATGTCAACAGATGCAATGTAAAATATTTCATTCATAAATACAGTGAGGTTGTCACTAACCTACGATTACTGCACCAGACTTTACTTCCACTTTCAGGGGTCCACTCAACATTGCAGGGAGGAAATTGTAAATATTCTGTATTTTGAGCAGCACTCTTCTCTTCTGCCTGCTTGATCAAACCCTTCACTTCATTGTAATAATCAGTTATCTCTCCATTGGCATTATAATATCGACCAATCAACTTTCCTGGAGGTGAAACAAAATGTTACCATATTGTTAAATTGTTTCCACATATCAGAAAAGTATTAACTGGAAACCAACCTTTGTATGTGTATTCTTTGTTATAAAATAGAGACCAGTCCTGAATACTTTTAAGATCATCTGGAGAAAGCCCTAATACATCATCAGTAATCCCATTTTCACTGAAATCTCCAGTAAAAAATGCTCTTGATGCATCACGACCTCAAGATTCACATCAAGAAAAGTCAGGAAAGTATAAAACAAATCAGCCAACAAAACATGTAAAACAAAACAAAAATGTTAACACACAAGAACATGAGTTAGAACACTTACCGGCAAATGCATGATAGCTTCCACCTGGTCCATAATGCTTTGCACCTCTGGAGACATCAAACACTTTGCCTAACACTGCCAAGTATATAGTTGGACTACCGTCTTCACCGTTGTACTTCGACAATTCAGTTACTGAATAGAGTCGTTCCCCTTCATTTTCTACCCCACGCTCAAATTTAGATGATGACAGGATACGACTTAAATTAATTATAATGTCATGAACTTTAACTAAAGAATTCTTAACAAATGGAATGTCATTAATTAGAGTAATTTTCTCACGATGATATTCATGAAGGTACATGACAGCCACGGCTACAACGACAACAATAACAGCAACTGTTTTCAAAGCCATTCTAATTTGGAATGGTGGTAAAGGAATAAAAGTGAAGAGATAACTTAGTCTTATTCTAACCTTCCAGGATCAACAAATCAGGTGTCAGTTTCCCAGCTACACTGAGCCGTGGCGCCGGGTTAAACTACTCTAATTTTCCATCAGGATCACGAACGGCGCCGCACACGCTGACATTACAAGTCCTTAAATACTTCCATACACAGAACGCTTCAAAATTATTTCATTGAGCCCTGATTCTGATATTTCTGATGTCATGTCATTTGTTGGGTGTATGACGGTAAAGTGATGAGGGTCCTTTTGACAGTGTACTATACATAAACATTCGTGTCGTCCGCTGCCTGCACTCCACTCTACAACTTACCTTAATCTTAACTCTCCTGTTCCCCCAAAAGGATGACATTGCGCAGCACCATTTGAGATAACTCCCGAAATAGCACAATATTTGCATACAACTTAAGAAACTTAAGGCTAATTTCTGTGTTTTATCTTCTTCTAAAACATAAAAACAAGAGCTATACTCATTTCACTAATTTTACGCACAGCCGAAACGAAAAACACAGGAACTTGCAGGAACAGGAAACGGCTGAAGTCTCGTATCTTTGGCGGCCGTATACAAAAACATACTATAGTTACCTACCTTATCTAGGCGTGGGTAGGAATTTAGCAGACACCATAAACGAGAAACAATGCAGAAATTTTATTTTTTATCTTAAATCAAAAATTGTTTGGGAAATAAGATAGCGTTTTTATTGCTTTGTTCGATATGTTTTAAGTTGCGATAACGAAAGGCCGAGAAGAGGCTTACGCATGCATGTTGCGTAACTGTTTTGAGATTTTCTTTATTTTCGGCAAGTTTCGGTTTCAATTATCAATTTCTTCATATGCTCCCTTTTCTTCTGTTTCATTGTTGAAGTATTTCGCTTCCTACACCTCCACCTTTCTTCCTAATTCCTTTCGCCTTAACCGTGTACAATGATTCATGTCGCTCCTCCTACTTCCCGCGGCATCAACCGCAAGCAACACCTTCAGTTGTTTCTGCGTTCGTTCACAACTTTCACGGTCTCGTATGTTTCGCACATAACCCTATTTTCTCACATGAAGGAGTTTAGGATTGCGGAGCTGTAGAAATTGAGGTTTTCCAAAGGGTGAAAGTAAACCCCCTTTTCCCTAAGCGGCATCTCTAAATGTGCTATCTTTTGTGAAGTTTAAAATGGCTGGTGTATTTGACATTGAACTACATGATGATGATACAGGACAACTCGATGACTTAGACGATGATACTATTGATGTTGAGGAAGTAAGTATTTTAATTCTGTCGATATTGGTGCTATCTACACGTTTAGTAGCAAAGGAAGAAATGTTGTGAATTACGCAGTAAATTAAGCACGTTGAGGAGCGTATGGTGACCCTGGAGAGGTTAACATATCGAAGGGTGCATGGACGTTGTCTAACCTTGATCGGATTGTTGATACACATTTGCACTTTATGTTGGAGTACATTCGTTGTCATGAGTCGTATATTAATTAACAGTTGTCATTCTATACTGTTGCAATCGTCCTGATTTTAAACATAACAGGGCACATTTCTATTTCATTTGTCCATAGTGTACCTCTGATGAATGGGAGATAGTAGTTGCATAGTTTTGTTTACCTTTGACATTTGACCTCAGTTTTTGATCCGAGAGAATACTATCCATCTTCAGTGAAATAGTCTTCTAATTCACTATGTTAGATTGCATTCTTTTTTTTTGTTTTTGTTTTTTTGTTTTTTCAACTTCTGTATATGAATGGTCAGTAATGATGAAATATCCTGAAGGTGTTCGTTCTGCGGTTGTAAATATAAACCAAACTGTAAATATATACCAAACTAATAATTGTTTCGTGAGTGGAAATTAAGTGAAAAATGCCTGCTAGTTCATATTATTGTAGATTTGTAAAGTAAACTTTATTGTTATAGGATGGTTATGACCCAGACCCAAATGTTAATGCCATATTCGAGTAAGTTTTTTGAAAGATATCAATGAAAATCTTCAATGGAAATGTCAACTTAAGAATTTTACTCCTAAGCATTAAGTTAGTAGATGTATCTGTATCCTTATCTTTTTTATTACAGCGATGAAGATCTCGAAACAGTTCAAATATCAGAGCAAAATGTAGGCAAGGAGAAAACTGGACCTCAAGACTTTGATTTGCTAAAGGTGCTAGGTAAAGGTGGTTATGGCAAGGTATTTCAAGTTAAAAAGAGGTCTGGGCAAGATTCAGGAACCATATTTGCCATGAAAGTTCTCAGAAAAGCGTCCATTGTTAGAAATCAAAAAGATACTGCTCACACCAAGGCGGAGAGAAATATCCTCGAGGCTGTCAAGGTGATTTGAAATTAATCAATATTGAAGATATATTCTTTTACAGTCCATCCTTAACCAAATATTTATATTATTTTCAGCATCCATTCATAGTAGATTTGATGTATGCCTTCCAAACTGGAGGCAAATTATATCTTATTTTGGAGTATCTAAGTGGTGGAGAGCTTTTTATGCATTTGGAACGGGAAGGCATATTCCTGGAAGATACAGCTTGGTAAGGGTTCACACTGATTATTAAACACTGAAAATACTTTGAGAATTTCATGTGAATTTATTTGGTAAACAATTAACAATTTTCTTCCTTATAGCTTTTATCTCTCTGAAATTATTCTGGCTCTGGAACATTTACATAGGCAAGGCATTATTTATAGGTATGTAACTTTAAAACAAGACTGTTCATTTATTTTTTTTTCATAAATTTTCTAGTTGTGTAGGTTGTTTCTATTTATATTCTGTATGTATGTATGTATGTATGTATGTATGTATGTGTGTGTGTGTTGTTGTATTTTTCAGAGATCTTAAACCTGAAAATATCTTATTAGATGCCCAAGGTCATGTAAAACTTACAGACTTTGGACTATGCAAGGAACATATTCAAGAAGGTATTGTCACTCATACCTTCTGTGGTACCATTGAATACATGTAAGTTTCCTTTGCGGTGGTCAGCAGGTCCTCCATGTTTTATAATGTTCTTGAATCTTGAAGTCATTTATTTTAATCTAATAAACTCAAACCTCAGGCTTCGGCCCCTAGGATGCTCTACATCTAATCTACTCTAAATCCAATATTCTGCCTTCTCTATTACAGGGCACCAGAAATCTTGACTAGAAGTGGTCATGGTAAGGCGGTGGACTGGTGGTCCTTAGGAGCCCTCATGTATGATATGTTGACGGGCACACCTCCCTTCACAGCAGAAAACAGGAAGAAGACTATTGAAAAGATTCTGAAGGGGAGATTGATGCTTCCAGCATATCTAACTACAGATGCTAAGGATTTAATTAGAAAATTACTCAAGGTTTGAATTGTGAAGGTGTTATATGTCTGTTATTACGCTTCCCAACTGTTTTTGACATGTGTTTCATTTTAACAGAGACAAGTTAGCCAAAGACTGGGCTCTGCTCCCACAGACGGAGAGGGAATCAGAGCCCACAACTTCTTTAAGCACATAAGCTGGGAAGATGTTCTGGGAAGGAAATTAGAACCACCATTCAAACCATCATTGGTGGGTTATATGTTATATTTATTCTTGCATTTAAATTTGTTGCGCAATACCAATTAGTAAAATAATAATTCATCTAATATGGAAATAATGCAAGTACAGGTAATCAGTGAACATTTACTTATTTTTCTAGTCTGGCGAAGATGATGTGTCTCAGTTTGATATTAAATTCACCAACCAACCACCTGTTGATTCTCCTGAGGAGTCTACATTAAGTGCAAGTGCCAATATGGTTTTCCAAGTAAGTGCCTAGGTACCTTATGCTATGCAAACACTGTTTGAGGTACTATACTTCTTTGCAAACCATTTGAGAGTGCCTGTTGCATATTCTAAATTTGTATCTTTTTCAGGGTTTCACCTATGTTGCGCCTTCTGTTCTGGAAGAAATGCATAAAGGGCCAAGAATTGTGAAAGCAAGGTCACCTCGCAAAGGTCCATTTGGAACGTCGGGGCCTGGTTCTCATTCAATGAGGACACCATTTAGTCCACGTCACACGTTACAAGCCTTTCCTCATGGGCATCATTTAAGTGGTTTTACATTTGGGCATCAAGCCTCATTAGATCCAAATCCTTGTCAAGAAGAGTATATGGAAGTTCAAAGCCCCCATGTGTAGTAAGTATGACTTTGAGAATAATGTAAATCATACGTTTGGGAACAGTCATATTTGTACTGTTTGCTCTAATGCTACAAACATTTTAATTACACTTCTATTTTCAATAGGCCCTGGCTTACATCTAGAGAAATAGCAGATATGGTTTTGCACAGCATCGGGTTATTACGAATTTTTATATTTTTAACGGTAACATAGCAAGTAATTTAAAAGTGTTCAAAGGTTTTGCATGGCCTTTTGTGTTAACACCACTGAAATTTTGTTCTATAAAATACTACTATTTGCTGTAAATTTTTTTTGTTGGATTTGGACTTTGAGTATTTTTGCCATATTTCAAATGCCATGTCTCTTGTCAGACATATCGACTGATTCAGGTTTCTTTATTACCAGTGTCCCAGACATTCTTCCTTTTTATAATGGTTTATTTGTCCTTTTACAAGATTTGTATTTTTTTATTCAGTTATTGTATTGCATCCCAGTGGATGTTTTATAAATGGTCCTATAAATACTAAGAGACAGGGAAGGAAATTTTTTATGAATAATTTCTTCTTATCTAGGTTAGAATGTGTGGGGAACTGGTGTGGCACTCACAGCAAATTTTCAGTCTTTGTAATTTCCTTTTGTTAGTGCAAGGATATTCTGAAAGTCTGTTGTAGGTTAGGTATGAACTACTGATATAGAGGATGTTGCTGTTTGAGTAGGCATCACTGACCAGTATGTGATTTGTGTGATCAGTCATGCTTTACTCAGTTTTATTGACGAATGAAATTAATCATATATGTAGAATTGATGACACAGTGTGTGTCTTGGGGGTTTTAGTTGTTAAGACATTTTATATTCAATGGAGTTTGAAGAGGTAGACTTTGTGTTGGTTACCAGTGGAATCTGCTTATCTTAATGTGGATACTGGACCTCAAGCTTGGTGCTTTGTTATATCTGTGGTGTTCCATATTATCGAGAAAATTTAATTTCATCACTGTATTTGTTCCATGTGGTTTCAGATTTGTTCTATATGACAGTTTTTCTGTATGGCTGCTCCAGTTATTGCAACACATGCTTTATTTTCACCGAAGGGGGAATATATGAATTATATGTTATGGCGCCTTGGGTATTTTACCTGTTCTTTGGCCCCTCTGTTTAGCATCAATATTTTCACTGTTCTTACTTAATTAGTGTTTAGCTGTTAATGTGACACGTGAAGTGGCAAATGTTTAGCAGTTGCTAGCTAGGCTGACCACCATGAAGGGTTTATTTCTACACTTTTGCAAGAAATGACTGTTATTTGTGTCTGATCTTAGTTAAATCACCTAACATATGCCTTAAAATCTATCTGCAGGCAAGAACCGTATCACAGTACATAGAAGCTTCAAATTAGAGTACCTGCCTCAAGTTCTGTTTTTTAGCTCCTGTACTTGTGTTCCCAAAATGTCTTATATTATAAACCTGTAAATGGGGATACAGTTTCATTTCTTATTTTGTTCATTATCCTTTCAATAGTGTGAGAAGAAAGTTTCATCTGTAAATTCATATCACAATTTTCTATTGTAGCTTACTTTTTTCCCTCTCCAACTTTTGCACTCGAGGCCACTAACCTGTATCTTATTAAAATTTAACTGCATATTTGGTTTTATTATAATATGCTTTTGGTTAGGTACAAACTTTCACCTGTCAACTTTGCTCACATTCTATGTGCTTTCCTGAGACTCTTTAATTTTGCTGTAGAGGTTTTTCCTTTTCTAATTCTGATGAGTGACATGCCTTTGCAAAAAGGTTGGGTAAAAAATCACCATCATTAGTGTTGTAATCAAAGTCAGCCTCAAGAAATTTGTGGCTCACTTATTAAATATTGTAACGATATTGTATTGAATTCATGTTATTATGTATATTATATTTACCATACACCAGAGATATGATACAGTTTTGTAAATGTTGAGTTTAGTGGATCACTATTCCAAAAGATATTTTTTCAGAGTACCCTTTTTTAGTCAGATAGAATTATAAACAGCATTTTAACTTTATTTGTATATCATTAATTATATTCTGAGGTGTGATAAAGTTGTGGTAGCAGGTTGAAAATACTTGTGATGCGTCAAACCATCAACCTGTCTAGTTTTTGTCCCAGCACACGTTTTCTCAAATTTATACTCTGTATGGTTCTTTACTGTAACTTTTGCCAAAAAATTTTATTTACTTATGTAGAACATGAACTGCGTCATTATCCTTATGAGAACATATATGGGGATAAAAGTACAGCAAGTTTCTGAATTTTCAAGTTCTCTTTGCTGAATCATTTAGTTGGTTTTGTTTGGAATACCTTGTCATTATAGTCTTGTGCAACGTGACAGAATTTGTTTTTGGGAAGATTATACCAACCACATCAATCTCAAAATTTCTCAGTACTCTGAGAGATAAATCTATGGCTCAATCAGAGCCAGTTAATTAATTTCTATTCCTATCTCTCTTTACTGTGTAAGTTAATCACATTTCAATTGTTGTTTCATTTCACAAATTGTTATATATTTATACCTTCAAATATTGCTGATGTTTGCTTTTAAAAATCAGATTTTTCTTGTTTTCTGTAATGTGTGTTTGTTTCATGCAAAGCAAATCAAATTTATGGTCTGGATTTTAAGTATACCAACTTTACTGCCCCATATTCTACTATCTGAAAGCTGAAGAGAATGATTGAAAAGTAAATCTTATTTCTCCTTTTTTACTGGTCGAAAAGTGGACAATGTTGAATCTATCTATGATACATGTTGGTAGAGTCTTACCCTCGCAATAGATTGCAGGTCCTGGTGTGCTGATAAAACCATCTCTTTGAAATAATGGCACATTTAAGTTCCAAGGATTTATTCTACAGGCTAATTCTACTTAAACTTTCTACTTGTGTTTCTTGTACTACTGGCAAACCATGTAGAGAATTTCATTGAATAGTTATGCTGACACAATTCAAATCTTACAACTTAAAACTGTTGTTTCCTTTGCTTAAATATGTGCATTGGAAGACATGGTCCCAAACTTCTAAGAATTTTAAGTTCCGTATAGGCTGGAAACAGACTGATGTTTTTTTATTTCTTTGTTTATTTTTGGGTTACGCTTCATGAAACCATACCATTTGAGGCATCAAGGCCTTTGCTCAGGCTTGCACTGATTGTGCATCATCAATAGACAAGACTTAATAGCTGTGTACTTTTAATCAAATTACTGGAGTTTGATTATTTTAGAAATTCTTCCAACTCTGAACAAAAGCTGCCAATGAGGTGGTAGTACTACATCCATTATGTGATGTGTATCTCAAGTTAATTTTTTTAATTTCAAGATCTCAAAACTTCTTTAAAGAAATTTTTTTTCTTAACACACTTCATATTTTGGACCAATTCTTGAAACTTTGATTGATTACTCCTTGAAGAGATTATCACATTCTCCACTTCTTCATTCAATGTCCCTGTATCAATTTGTTTCTTTACTTTTAGCCTCGCCATTTAGTAATCTTTCTTTAAAGTTTGAGAAAAGCAACTGAGCTAATTATGTGTAAAATGGTCTTGTCCTGCTTATAGAACAGTACCTTAACTAAACTACTGTAATGAAGACTATTTCTCTTTGTTGTTTTGATTTAGGATATTGCATTTATCCATAATTGCTGTGATGCGATTTTTGTGGCACTTCTCTGACAATTGTTAGGTACGAAGGTCTGAGACATTTACGTTAAAAAAAATCAATCAGAATATACTGCTGTGTTGTATTATAAGGCTTTGTAGGAGTGCATCAATGCTAATAAGCCAAAGCTTGAATTTTTGAAGGATTTAATGGTGTAGAGGTTGTATTGACCTCTGCAATGTGCTCTTCTTTTCCTTCACAAATTACCTTCAACGGGGTGGTGTGATTTGATGAATAATATGTCCACCTCTAGTCCTACATTTCAGTTTGCTCAATATTTGAAGAAAAGTATATCTTCTTTTGGAAAGTTCACTCTTTTGAATTCTAAATCTCATACCTCTCAAACCTACATAAGCAAAAACAAAAATGTTTTTTTTTTCTCTTTTTTTTTTCATAAAAACATTGTTCTACTACAATTATGAGCTACACATGATTAAATTCAATCCTCTCAGAGGAAATTCGATATTGCCAATGACGAAGGAGCATGTGCGTGACCACGTGCCAATGTGTTTTTCAACCATTTTTTGTGTCACAAGGTCTTCCAAGGTAATTGATTCTAACGCATCACTTTTTGGATGAAATGAACTGAGAACCATTGTTGTTCTTTAAAAAATATTCAGTGTTTTTTTGATGTTTTATTTCACTTTTATTGTTTTCTACAAAATTTTGGTGTTTACCCTCCCAAATTTTGGTATTTAACATTAAGTTAACAGTGTTGATCTTTCATATGAGTAGCTGTGTGTAATTTTTGGTGTACACTAACGAATGCAAAGTAGGTATAGATTTTAATACATTATTTGTACAGAAATTAGGCTCAAAGAAAGTAGCTTGAGTTTTTGAAGTGGTGTCATTTGATGCGGCTGCAGACCGTGTTATTGTGTTGATTTATTGAATGTTTGCTAATGGCTTGCATGGCGGTATTTATTGATTCAGATCATCAATAAAGAGCTGCATTTTCGAAATAGTTAACTTTAATTATTACACCTGTTTCCTAAGTCTTCATGGGCTCTGACCCCGTGGCGTCAGGCTGGACCTGTTTCGGCTCGTCATGCTCTTCCTCTTCACGAATCGAATCCCTTCTTGATTCCAGGCCGAGGGCGCTAACCGACAGGTTGCGCTGATTCTTGCGAAGCGCCTGGGGAGTGAGCACCTGGGGGACAGAGTTGCCTGGAATGTGTGCCGAGGAGACGGGATTCTCGTAGAAATCATTCGGTTGGAGTGGTGTTACCTTGATTGAAGGGGCACGACTGATGAGCTGCGGGTTCGACGAGCGAAGAGTGGCTTGGAGGTGGTTGATCTCCAAGGCGGACTTGCGCAAGTCCGTCCTCGACACGCTGCCCCTGCCGCCGGCCCGGTAGTTCTCGACAGCCGAACCGCGACGCCTTTCGTGTAAGGAGCTTCAGAATTAGGAGAAGCACACAGCACACCCACTATGCGACCTTTAAGAACATGGCTAACAACTTTCACGGCCCTCTCTCGGATCTCAGGACTGGAGCTTTTACGAGGTCGTGATAAATCCGCCCCAAACGCCTAGGGAGGGGAAGTTCCTGTTTACGTGGTTGCATTTAACGGGAACTCATCTACAAGCCTCTCTTGTCAGCAGCGACCAAGCACTCTATCCTAATTTTGCTTCGTGTTTTCCAGGGCCTGATCTGGTCGCGGTTTACCGAGGTGTGACTTACTCGATGGACTGTCGAGAGGAGCGCAAGTCGGGCCGCGACACGGAGGTGCCCCCCGCAGCGCCGCGCAGCCCGTCCAGGGAGGTGACGGAGCCGCGCATGTTGAACTGGATCATGAGGCTCAGGCGCTCCAGGGACATCTTGGTGATGGGGCCCTCCTCCTCGTCGTCCGCGTCGCCGTCCGCGTCGCCGTCCCCGTTTAGCCGGTCTCCCTCGCCCTCTTCTGCATCAGCAGGAGGGAGGGTGCAAGGTGTTGGTCTGAAAAACTCGCTGGGGGACTTCATACCTCTATCGTCGTCTCGGTACGTACCAAGGTCCTTGTCCATCTGTTTGTCGTACTTCTTGAGCCACAAGAGGTGCAGCAGGCCGTAGAGCGCGCCGCCCGCGCACGCCAGCAGCCCCATGATACGGAAGGCCTTGCGGGTGCCCACCGTGCCGATGAGGAGCCCGCCCACGAACGACCCGGAGCCGCGACCTGTGGGCGCGGGGCGCCGCGGAGCCGAGCAAAGTCGTGACGCTTCAGACAGCACAGCCAGCAGGGTGGGAGTGGGCGCCTCCCCCCCCCCCCCTTGAGTGCGACAAGGACGGAGGTACGAAAGCCCCCTCCCCCCTCCCTCCTGCCCCGCACCCTACACCCACGAGGGCGAACTCACCCAAGCTGAAGTGCGCCATGCCCAGGACGCCGATGAGCGTGGCGAGGAGGGTCTTGGGCGCGAGGATGCTGCAGTAGGTGGCCGCAGCCACCCACATGAGATGCACGGCGAGCGACTCGATCGCCTCGAAGGGGAAACACCACCACGCCCGCCTACAAACACAAATGAGTATCCGCGCACCGGCACCGGCTATAGCAGCAGCTGCTTTGGCCCGCGGCGACCGCCAGGGTCCATGCGCACACCACACTTACTCGATAAAGGAGTAGCCCATGAGCCGGGCGGCGTGCGAGAAGAAGGCGAGGACGATGACGTTGACGTGGCCGAACTTGTGGGTGATCTTGTCGGCGCCGTACAGGAACGGGATGCTGCTCAGCGTGCCGACGGTGACGGTGATGCCGAGCAGGTAGTTGGGCGCGCCCAGCTCCTTGAGGTACAGGAAGAGGAAGCTCTCGATGAAGCCCCAGAAGTTGCCGAGCCAGAAGAGGAAGACGATGAAGCAGATGACGTGCGGCATGCGCAGCAGGCGCAGCAGGTCCTGCAGGATGTTGTCGGCGGGCATGCCGCCGCCGATGGGCATGAGCGCCAGCGTCACGCACGAGACGGCCAGCAGCACGTCGTACGCGTAGAACGCGGACGAGTAGTCGGTCACGCCTGGACAGAGAAGAGTCGGTTGACGTTGGCGGACGTTGGTCCCCGGGAGGTAGACGTCTGCAGCGGCAGCCCCGGCACGCCCCGCCTACCGTTGCGGCTGCTCTGGTCGATGATGAGCCCGATGATCGGGGAGAAGATGGCCATGCCGATGGAGGAGAAGAGCCGCTCGCGGCCAAACTGGCCGCCATAGCGCTGGATCATGGTGAGCGCGATGGGGTCCAGCATGGTGACCCCCGCCGACAGCATGATGGTGGCCACGAACCGCAGCAGGAAATAGATCCAGAAGATGCGGTCGTCGCTCTCCTTGAAGTCCGGCGGGCAGAGCTCCGGCCCGCCCTCGCTGGCAGAGGTGCAGGGGAGAGGTGAAATGGTGGAGAGGCAGTGCGCGCGGTCCTGACTCGGGCCGGGCCAGCGGACTCACCGGAAGCTGCACTTCTGCAGCATGCAGTCGGCCGCCAGCTCGGTGAGCGTCTTGTACGTCAGGTTGGTGGCGAGCACGGCGCCCCCACACCGCAGGTCCTCCTCCAGCAGCGTCGTGTAGTTGACTCCCGCGTCTTCCATCAGCTTCTGGCTGAAGTGCGCGCTGAAGTCGCTCACCGTCTCGTTTTCCTCCTGCTCCATCTCAATACCTACGGGGAAGAACAAAAAATAAAGAGTTCCGGTACCGGGAATCGAACCCGAGCCTCCTGGGTGAGAGCCAGGTATCCTAGCCACTAGACCATACCGGACTACATACGCACACCCCTTGACGCAACAGTCTGAGTCGAAGCGGCCTGGCGTGTTGCCAAGAATTACCCCTCCCCTGCCCCCCTCCACACACACGGGGAGGAAGCTCAGCACAAGGAGTAGCGATGGCCCCATGTGCGCGCGTCCAGTATGTTTAGGAGGGGAAAGCCCCCACCGCCCTCATACCCATTTACGCACCGATCACCTGCGTCTCTGTCGTGTACTACAAACCTAGCTGTTCGATCGGAGGCTCGAGATCGGGGTGCATGTCCAGCATGAAGTACACCCGAGGAGTGTCTGCCGGCCGCTTGGTGGTGGTCTCGGTGGCATTTGGGAGCAGGATGCTGCTGTCAGATGAGTCGGGTGAAAACTCATGACCCGAGTGAAACTAACGTGTCGAGATCTCGCCCTGGCCTCGCCTCTCATACCTCGTAGAGTTGCTCTTCTTGGTCTTCTTACTGGGTTTGGAAGTAAAGTTAAGGCCATCGTTGGGACCTCCAGGGCCCTTTTGCCCCAGCATGACCTTGTCCGCCTCCTCCTTGGTGGGTGGGGGCTTCTCCTTCTGTGAACATGTGCACCAGCCGTGACGGGCCGTCCGTGAAGAGCGCCTTACGATGTCAGGGTAGGCACCGTGCCCAACACGCGTGTGAGCGCGTTGCCTATCTCAGCCTCCGAGCGCCTGCGCTGGCTCGGGTAGGCACCGCGCCCAACACGCGTGTGAGCGCGTTGCCTATCTGAGCCTCCGAGCGCCTGCGCTGGCTCGGATAGGCACGGTGCGCAACACGCATGTGAGCGCGTTGCCTATTCAGGCACCCAGGGACCTGTGCTATCTCACGGAGCCGGCTTATCTCAGCTTGATCGGGTCCTCACCTCCGGCAGCAGCGTGGGCGGGCGGACAGCGATGCCTTGGTGGATCTCCTGGAGGAGGGTCTTCTTCTTGGGCTTGGCCTCGGGCTCCAGCAGCAGGCAGTGGTCCAGGCAGTCGTCCAGCACCAGGTCAAGCTCCTCCGCCTCGGGACACTCGCGGCTCGGGCACGGCGACCACCACACCTGCAATCAGCCGGTGAGTCCAGCACTACCCCCCCCCTCTCTTTTCCTACCCCTTTCACCTGCTCTCACTCACGTCCACTTTCCCGGTGACGGGATGGCGCATCACATAGGCAGCTGGCATGACGCCCGGGGTCTCCATGGCCGGGATGAGCAGCAAGGAGTGATGGAAAGCCGCGTTCAGGACCAGAGTGAAGATCACCACTGGCTTGTAGTTACCTATCTTGTCCACTAGAAAGCCTAACCCGCGGTGCGAATCAGGTTAGATCACGTATGAAGCTTTCGATTTACCCGGCTCCAACCTGCTATCATACTTTTACTTTACCTGTAACTGGGGGACTGAGGAAAGTGGTGAGTGGTAGGGCGAGGTAAACTATTGCTATCTCTTCTACTGTCAGTCCAATACTTTGCATGTGGATGGTAAGGTATGGAAGTAACGAAGCGGTTGCTGCAATTTTTTCCAAGAAGTGTTTCCAAATTAGTTTTCCTTGCCATTTTTGAGCAACGCTCAACTCGAACATTCTTAGCTTACCTCCGTACATCATGAAGAGAGTGATTTTGAGCATTACTAAGTTTGGGTTGATGTTCATTTTATAGCAGATCTTCTCGAACATCGTCGGTGTTTTCTCTCCTTCAGAATCTTCCTTCTCCTTGTCTTTGTCTTCATCATTTTCCTTGCCCTTTTCACATCCGTTCGCCTTTCCGGCCTCTTTTACTTTTTGTTCCCTTTTTATGTCCTTTTCCTTTACCTCCTTCCTCTCGCCAACGTAACCGTCCCCCTTTATATCGTCCGTTGCCTCATCGTCTTTTTTCGCCCCTCTTTCTCCCTTCAATTTTTTCACATCCGCATCGTTTTCGACCTTTCTTTGTCTTAGTTCTGTCTTGTCCTTCCTGTCCTTTCCCCTTGTATCCCCGCTAGTTTTCTCAGTCTTTTCCGGTGCGTCGTTCTCATTAGTATCCCCATTGTCCATTTGGCTCTGCCCCCCGGTCGGAGAGTGTGCCATCTCAAATGCTACCTGCCAAGGCTGCACGGGAAAAACAACAACATGAGTTTGAACTTTAGCTCTGGCTGCCCGGCTCTTGTGCGTAACTTTACAGCCAAAAGTGTGACCCCGAGGGTGATTTCTCTCTTACCTGCGCGATGAGATCATGTGGGCTGCTGATGCTGCGGGGCTACTGGCGCCCACGAGCACCGCGGAGGAAAACTCGGGGCTAACAAAGATTAGGCTGGGAGGGGAGAGCGCCCCGTTTAACCCGATAAAGTTGTCTTTAGTGCGAAGTGCGCCGCCAACTGCGCCTAGAAAGCCGCCACCCACCAGGCGAAACCTCTGCTCTCGAGAGATACACCGCGGGGAGGGGGCGGGGAAGTCCTGAGTGACTCGTTGTAAAGAGTGTCTCGCATCATCCTCGTGCCCACAGACGGGGAGCAATTCCGCGGACCTCAAGATTATTTTTTTGATTTTTTTTCTCCATTTTCTTAAGCTATTTGATGAATTTTGGGGCTACCTCTAACACTGACAGACATTTCGCTCTAGGTCATTGAGCATTAGTTACGGGTGCGAGCAAGTGCTCCAGGAAGGGGTCAACGACTCATTTGAAATGTTTTTGTTTGGTAGTTAACGGAGCCCCTGGACACACTGTTGGCAGTGTCACGACGATAAGGGCGGCTGGGGACGCGAGCCTGATGGACGGGCCGTAAGGCTTGTGCCAACTTAACTGGTCCTGTGTTTGTGTGGCTAATCTTGAATATCATCGCTCATGAGGCTTGTTCATGTTCAAATCAGGCATGCTTCTCAGCCTTGCATCTCTATCCGAGCAGCGCACAACCGGCTGATCCCCATTGTATTTTCTGTTTTGATTTATCAACGAGGTGCAGGTCTTAGATGTAGTGAGTAATAACTCGACAAATTAAAAAGAAAATGTTTATCAAAAAA